TGTCCAGGTCAGTTTACTTATGAGTTGTACTTAAGATTTAAATGGAAACATGTCCACTAACAATAAGCACATTTGCTTGAGTTCTGCAGCTAATTACAGATTTAAATCAAAGTGGTGTATTTCCCATTTGCAAGTCATGGTGCAGGAGAAGTATTTACTTGGGTAATTTAATGTTTTGGAAAACCTTTGAGCACTTCTTCCACTCCTGTGCTACACTTGCCTTTATGTGTTGCCCTTTCATTGCTTCGTTAGTGTCAAGGGTGTCAAGTAAGGCATACAGTGACGGTTGTGGCCGTTTGTGACATGAGCTTCAAGTGACTCTTCTACACAAACGGCTGCAACGACACACCAGTCATCAGGAGTACTCCTGACATCTTGTTGTTGTTGTTGTTGTTTAACTGGTTTGTGTGCTGTTTGCAGGGTGCTACAAGATCACCACAGTCTTCAGTCATGCTCAGACTGTAGTTCTGTGTGTCGGCTGCTCCACGGTCCTGTGCCAGCCGACAGGAGGGAAAGCTCGCCTGACAGAAGGTACAGGAAAACCAGAAATCTCAACTATATGTGTAGAACTACACAAATGGCGAGAGCGGGGTGGTGCTTAAAGATTTAAATTTGGGATTCTTTTGGAGGATTCTCTAATGGCAACGATAGAGAGGGGAAACAACTTTTAAAAGCTTGTTTTTCAAAACATTTTCGGGAGTTTTTGTCTAAATCTAATATTTTTTGCATTTGATGCAAATTTAGACCGAAGCTACTTTTAGCTGCCCCCATGTTTGTTTCGGCAGAGTTGTGTTGGGTGGTGTTCTTCCTGATGTAATCTAGATTTGTCTCCCCTCTGGGGTGACGGTTGCTCTGGATTGGCACTACGTAAATAAAACTGAATTATATTTTAATGACCCAAGGCAGAAGCTTTTCCCTAAATCCCCAGATTTTGTGGCCGGAGATGAGTGGTCGAACTTGACTGTACACACGCTCAGTTACTCTTTCACATTTGCCTTTGTGTTGCCCTTTCATTGTTTTCTTCATGAACAGGGTGTCAACTAAGGCATACAGTAACTCTTGTGGTTGTGAGAGGAATTCATCATCACTGATCTATTCCTACACAATCGGCTGCAAGCACAACGTTTCATTTACACACATTTTAATTAATTTATTTTTTTCAGATTAACAGGTAGGCCCAGTATAGATTTAAGGTGATAGGTCTCCTTTAAAGAGGACATGAAATGAAATGGGGAAAATCCAGCTGTTACCTGTAATATTTGGGTTTGTAAAGCACTGTATAAATGAGGAGCGATTGGAGGAGAGCCTGTTTGAGTCACCAGGCCGACACGTTGGAGTTCAGCATTTCCAGCTTTTCCTCATCAGGCCGGGTGTACCGAGCTGTGCAGTCAAGCAAAGCAGATGTTCGCATGATGCGATCAGCACTTTTTTTTTGTGCAATAAAATATTTTCTTTTCCCAACACAGCCAAGCAGTTTATAATATTACTCTGCACAAGTCACTACATGTGCGTCACACCAAAAACATAACTATTTCTTAACAAATGCAACTGGAAATCCCAACATTCATCAGCATGTACGCAGGGAAAAAATCTCCACCTTACAGTTTCCTTCACTTACATTTCCTCACTTCTAAACTGAAGTAATCCAGTCAGTGAGATGACGTGAGGAAAATACAAAAGATCTCCAAAAAGTATGGCATCTCTTCCTCTGAGCCTCGACTACTTTTTTTTTCTTCTTTTCCTTCCTTTTGCACACGTTGACCTATTTTCCCTGCAGACGTGATGGGATTCCTGGTCGTGCTTCGCTAAGAAACATAGTTATATTTGTGGTGTGTATGTAGTGGCATGGATGTGCTTGGGAAGAGGGAAATTATTTTATTGTATAAAATAGCGCTGATCGCATCGGCTGATTGCACCGCTCAGCCCGACGAGGAAAAATCAGTTTCTGTTGGTCCGTTTAACAACCTGTCACCTGTATGTAAATTAGCCTTTATATGTGTAGCGTTTCATGTCCTCAGGGTTCAAGGTTCAATTTTACTGATATTGTCATCGTCACAGCCACCCCACGCTGCTGTGGTAACAGGAGCTTCTTAGCAGGAACTCTGAGCAATAAAACCACGAGTGTAGTGGTGATTCAGCCTTTGTGAAGGCAGATGGTAGCATGAGCTTCACTGTTAGGTGAATGTCTTCTTGTTAGGGAGTCAGTTGATACACCTTGCTGCAAGATTGGTCGTTTTTATAGGCTGTCAATATTTATGGAGGATTATAAGGTTATAATATAACCAAGACTTCTCTAAGTGTTTTATAATAAAGCTGTCTTGTTGATTTCTATCAGTGTCTGAGCCACGACCTCTCGCCTCTTTCTTTAGGATGCTCATTCAGGAGGAAACAGCACTAACCTGATCAGATGGGGTTCGACATCCTTGAGAAGAGTAAGAACTTGATGGACATCAAGTGACACTGCCATAGAACTGATGCAGGGAATGGGAATGGCTAAATCATGTAATATAAGAGTGAGTCTATCTACTTAATATGCAGAAAAATGCCTGGCCTTGTTGAGAGACCACCAGCAGCTTATATGATTCATTGTTCACTTTAAATAAAGTTTCATTTGATAAATAATCTCATTAGGTATCTTTCAACTCATCATTTTATCTGGAAAAAACACAGCTTTTGTCCGCTGACAACCCTTTAAAGATGACACGATGCATGTGGGGTTTCTGTTTGTCTTGCATTTGTTTGCATTACACCCTTCATCAACTAAGCAATGATTTACAGGAAGGTGTGGTCAGAGATGAGGCCCAGCACTAGATGCAAAGTTCCTCTGGAAACAAGGGGGCCAGCTCTAGAAAAGGAAGCAAACTGTGGCTACGTCTCAAGAAAGTTGACTTGACTGCAGAGTTTTCTTGTGTAAAAAGGGCACTCTGCATGAATAATTATTAATACATTTCTTGTGTCTTATGTTTTAATGCCACAGTGATGTCAGCACTATAAAGTAGGCGATGATGTCAGTGGCATCAGTGCAGGGTTCCCTCAGTCTGAATGAGGGTCTATTCAGGGAAGGACACTGTTTGCTCTGCTTTAAAAAAACAAACAAAAGGAAGTTAATTAAATTTCAATGAACAGTGTGGTTGTGCATTTATGTGTGCTTGCGAGCTTTCTGTGCAAATGATCATGTGGGATGAATTCTTGTCAGGTTGTGAAAAATCAGTTGCTCTGAAAGGGCTGACACTGCAGGAGCAGGTTGTGGCCGCAGGTTACTCTCACCTGTGGTTTACGCTTGCGCGCACGTAGGCCCTGTGCACAGCCTCTGTGACAGCAGTGATTTGTACACTGAATAAATATGAAAATTAAATCAGGAGACGGAGGGATTTGATAACTTTGTTGTTGCTATGGTTACATTTTTATTGTCTTGCTTGTATTGGACACTAACAAATAAAATTATGGTAAACAGGAAATGAGATTCTGGTGTGGCTTGTGTTTATTGAATGACGAACACAGGATAAGCTTTGTATTCTATATGATCTCTTTTTAATATTAATGTCACTATCACCATTCTAATTTAATATTTTATTCATACTTTTAATCATATAGTACCCTTATACCACCACTTTTTCACTATTCAAATATAAGGGGTTTAGATTTAATGTGTAGGCTTTTACAAAGGTGCAGTACTTTTTTATTTCACTTTTTTATTTAGCTTTTCTTGTTTGATAAGCTGCTTGATACTAACCTATGAATCATTCAATCATAAAATGATACATAACCTGTGGGATTAACCAGTCATGTGTCTGCACAAAACAGACAGCTTTGCAAAGAACCAATTTTAAATAGCATGTTGTTACTAGCAGCAAGTTGAATACCCAATAACCAAATTTCCCTTGTGGGACAATTAAAGGATTATTCTAATCTATTCTAATGAACATGAAACATGCCAAAGATGACATCGTTTGAAAGGAATAAAATAGTATTTCTGCACCAATAAGGTGATTCCCAAAGACCTATCAGTCGTAATCGTGGCGTATCTGTCAGATACTACAGGCAAATTCTGATCCACCATGCAATACTGTTGTGAAAGCATCTTCAATGATCCCAAACAAACTGCCAATTTATTAGAAGCACCCGAATAAGAAAACACACAACAGAACATCATCATTCATGGATCGACCTCACCAGAGCGTAGACCCCAATCGACATTTCAATAAATCGCTGCATCTATTTTCCATTTTCCTGGCAAAACAACTCACAAAAGCCCCAAACCTACATATCCAGGAAAAATAAGTCCAGTAACTGAAAGCATGTGGTTTTACCATACTGTCACACCTGAGCACAGTAATGATAAGCTTACTGGTTTACTGCAGGAGAACCCATGAATCTGACCACGAGGCTGTCATAAGGTCACTGACTATTTTGATGTATGTCTGCTCAGTGTAATTATACTGGGGGAGTGGAGACGGGGTCTGAACTCTACTCGGTGAGGTGGTGACATTCAGTGGATTCAGCTGTGGAAATCTACTCAAGAGAAAGTATGGCTGTCACTATGTGGTCATGTCATAAAAATAAATAGAAAAAGAAGAGCCAAACCTGTCCACGGCTGAAAAAGTTGTTTTAATAACAACTTCTCTGAACTACTGAAATTTAACACTAAATATTGATTTACTCAGAACCTCTTAACAGTAACAGGGAGAGAGAGAGGCTAGACTGACTTATTTCAGACAGGATAAACTGAGATTCTGCGCAAAAGCACGGTGTAAGACAAATAAGGATTACTTTGAACTGTGAGTCATGCAAAGCCACTCTAGTATAGCTCAAAAAATAAAACTATGGAGCAGAAAAAGAGCACCATAGGTTAACACCAATGAATGTCCAGGTTGCTGAGTTTGGATACATACCATATAACCTCAGTGTCACCAAAGAAATTTCTGCCCCTCACTTATGTCGGTCTCCAGACTGCAATCAATGAATGGATGAATGAGAGAGAATAATTAACTATTGTTTGGAGCTCAGGCATCCACTGAACACTGACCTATATTTGAAATTTTAACAGCAGGAATTTAAATGTTACATCCACAACAATTCCACTTCTTTCAGCTTCCAAAATGAGTCTTTACTCGAAACAATGGAAGCAGATAATGAATGTCTGTCAAAGAAATTACATGATGTCAAGAAGACTGCAGTTCATCTTCCCTCTGTTTTGATTGATTTTTCACTCACGCTTTCGTTTTTTTTTTTCCACAGTGAATTTCATAAATGTCCTAAGTTGTGGGTAAGTACACGAAAGGCTCAAATAATCTATTCTGTGGATGTTTGCGTGACATACCGATGAAAACATGTTCTTGCTGCCCATCACCGTAAACTCAACCCCAGGCTGAGTGACAGGGAGCAACACAGATCGGTGGAGTGCCAACAGGTCGGGCAGCACCTCTGGGACACCTGAGAGCAGCTCTGACAGAAAGGGAACTGACCCCACAAAGAGAGGCCCCATCAAGAGCAGCTGGTAACAAACCCCTCCTGAGACAGACACAGTGACTGTCCGTAAACAACTGCAGGGAATGAATGACGGGGGAAGAGTTTGTTAGCAGCAAGCCATGAATTGTCAGGGCTGACTGTAAAAATGCAAAATTGAAGGTAGGGGGAGCTAAAGTGCAACACTAACTAAGCTTTCTTACAAGATGGTGCATAAAAGTGACACATTAAGAGTGAAAGGATGGAAAAAGATGCATGCTCATGGTAATTTTCCCTCACATGCTTTAGTTTCATGTGTGCTTGAAACCCTCTCACCACCACCATGTCTGCAGAGGTTAAAAGAGTAGGGACTGTGGAAGCTTCCATTTCACCCAGAAGACAGAGGACATGAGCCCATTGATTAGATACTAGCAGCCTAAACTCTACCCATTTGTGCTCATTAAATTTCTCTACCAGTAGCAAACTTTCCCTCTTCCAAGATGCTATAGGTCTGCCCTGTAACGCCTGATTAAATACCCATTGCTGACCCTTTTGCTTATTAAAGAGTGTCATGCATTCTCCTTCTGGACTGATGTAGAGATGGAAAACATTAACATATTGGGGATTATAGTCACTAAGGGAGGTGTTATTGGCCCTGCTGAAAATCTTTGTTCTGCAAAGTCTGGACACCAAAAACGTCTGTCAAAATCTGAAGTAATCAGCGTCAGGTCATCTCTGAGTGGGAGGCAGAGTGGAGGATGGGACAGGAGGATCGATAGAGAAGGGCAGAAAAATCACTGAAAGACATGGCAGATGACTTTTTATAGTATTGATCTGAGCAGTTTGAATTCTCTTTTCAGCGTTAAATTTGGCAAAATGAGAGCTGAAGTAGAATGAAAAATTGACATGAAAGAAGGCTGTTGAGAAAGAAAGAAAAATCCAGAGCCAGAAAGTGTGGAGAAATTAAACGAGCGTACAAGAAAGGCTGTGGGGGTGTGCGCGTGTTGTGAGCGTAGCTCTACTGACCAAGGTTATCGCAGAATAGTGACTTATAACAAAGGAAAGACGGGCTGACTGGGCCCTCCCACGCTGTAGCAGAAGCACAAACCACTCTGGTGAGACACAGTTCATCCGTACACATATGTCTCTTTGTTTGAGTTTTCCCTTTGCCAAGGCCAAAGTCATTACACATCATTAGTATACCCTACTTAATTAACCGACCTGAACACTTATGAACAAGGTCTGGCTGACCCTACGCCTCCACAGCAACGACCTCCAGCAGAGGAGAGTCAGTGTTTGAGCCACTAGTCAGCATCCCCTGGGAGCCCACAGTGACAAGTCGTGTCCTGTCACATGCTGACACAAAGCGTGGCGCACAGGCCAGATGGCATCTCTGGGACACAAGACAACAACAACACACAAGTTATGTCAAACAGACTTCTGGGTATTTTCTTTGTCAGTGTCCAAAATGTATCCCAAGATTTTATTTATTTTTGTTAGCTGAAAGTAACCAGCTGGCACGACTAAAACTCAAAAATGGAAGAACTGTTTATTTCCAGATGAATGTTTTAATTGTGTTTGGCAGAATAACTGGGAGAAACTGTGAGAGAAGCAAGATTAAGAAATGATCCATTCCAAAATGGAGGTAGTAATTGTGCAAAACACAATTGCAAGCACTCTCAGTTTAATTTATTATCATATGGACACTTAATATCGACAAATGATTTTATTATCATCCAGTCTTCCCCACTCCTGATTGTTCTGCCACTATAATAGGGACTGTTTACCTTAAACCTTATAACAAGAGTACCTTAGTCATACTGTGCTACAGAGAGAGCTAAAATCTTTATATGTGAAGGTAAAAATGTGGTAAAGAGGATGAAATGTAAAAGCACAGCCCCCTGCCAGGTCATGTCAGGAAAGCTAGTTTCAGGTGTTGTTGTTCTTTGCTAAATATCTTTTACTATCGCAGAATAGTAACCCCTCACGTCCACAGTCACAAGGTCAATGAATTAGTAAACATATGCTTAATGATACACAGCTTATTTTAAAGTGTTTTATGTAAAGTCAAGTATTGCAATTCTGCATTTGAGCACCAATTTACGCATTTAGGCTCATCGGGCTTCATTGATTTGTTCATTGTTTATGCCCACACGTCACAGATATCTGGGACCTTTCCATGCAGGGAAGCACAAAACACACAACAATAGGCAGTTTACCGTCTCCAGTCCACCTGACCTACATTTGTCTGGAAAGTAAGAGAGCACCACAGCAGCACACCGGCAGAGAGACAAGCATATCAAGAAGAATGCTACAAACAAAACACAACACAGACAAAAATGGTCACAGTCACAGTATACTGTGCAACAAAGACAAGCGTATTCATGTATTTATCCTAAATTTTGATGTCACCCCTCTCAGGAAAATAACTATAACCTAGTGTGCAATCCAAAACCTGGAACAGTCACATCTACAATTAAAGGGAACTTTATTACAAAATAATAAGAGAAGTCTTCACACAATCAAGTTCACTTTTCTCACATTACAAAAATTCCATCTGATGAAATGTGAAAGCTCGTGCCCCTGGCAGGTCATGTCAGGAAAGCTGCAGAGGTCTCAGGTGGTTGTGCTCTGCTAAACATCTTTTACTATCTCAGAATAGTAACCCCTTACCTCCACAGTCACAAGGCTGCTAAATTAGTAAACATATGCTTAATGATACACACACATACGCTGGCATTCACACCCACATAAAAACACACACTGAACACATCTCTGCAGGAGTGAGGGTCACCGTGATGGATGCTATCCCTGGATGGCCGTGAGCATTAAAAGCCTGGTGGCCCAGCACCAACAATCGGTCATGTCGGTGTTGTCAGAGCTCAAAATTAATCATTCTTGTCTCGGTGATCATTTCCTGCATTAATTATTCTGACGATGAAGCTGAAATAGTCTGCAAGCTGTGAATGTCCCTGTGTGCGAGAACATTTAGGGAGATG